AATGAAGTAATTAAACTGATAAACTAAACTATCTAAGATTGCTTCCTACTATAATTCTGCTGCTACACTGTTGATCGCAGATCAGGAAAGCAAATCTCCTGGCCCTATATGTAACTGGGTCCTCCTTACTACCCTCCCCCTCCTCTGCCTCTGATTTCCCAGCACGTTCCTTCCCAGATGACCTTGTGTCCTAAAGCTGAGGTCATCAGACATTGAGCTCCTTTCATTCTCTATCCATCTCAATGTCCTCCTCTATTAACAGGCCTGGGTCTACCTCTCCCTTGTCATTGAAGTTCAAACACCAGACTTTCCTGATCCAACCCTCAATCACATCCCTTCCTTTACCTTCTTTTCTCATTTCTGTCTACAAACATGCTATAATCCTTTTACCTGTAATTTCCACAATCCAGCTAAACTTTCAAGTCATCACTCATTTTTCCTCTTCACATTCTTCCACGTAGACTTCCAACAGCCATAGTTTAGGTTTCAGCTTTGCCACTTCCATTCAATACAAGGATCCTGTCCTAAAGCTGACCTTAGTATCTGGACTACTCAAACAGCCCATTTCTAATTTCTCCTCCTCTCGAGTCAATCTCCAAAACATAAAATAGGCCTTAAGACCTGGCCGGTTAACTCAACTGGTTAGAGCACAGTATTATAACACCAATGTCAAGTGTTTGGATCTCCATACTGGCCAGTCACAAAAAAATAAAAGGCCTTGTTACTTTTACTTCTGTCCTCTATTATCTCCTAAACCACTCTGTGCCTAAATTAAGCTTACGGGTCGCTGCTGCCTCTGCATTATGTAATTCCTCTCACTTATGCTTCTGGGTCTCACTTTCTGGACTATATTACAAGCTCCTCAAAAGGCAAGTTACGTTCTACTTTATATCCCCCCTCCCACAGCACCATCATCCTGCCCCAGAGCTTCCCATTGTAGGTTCTCAACAGATTTGCCACATGAGTAAAGACTGTCAGACCTAAGTTTTAGTTCAACATACTCAACCCTCTAAGAATGCTTTTTCTAAAGAAGGTATTAGATTGTTGTTCAATAGTATACTTTCAACTCCGAAAATGGGAATGGGCTAGCCAGTTAGCCCAGTTGGATAGTGTGACCTTGTAACCCCAAGGTCAGAGGTTCAGTTCCCCCACTGGTCAGCTGCCCAAAAGGGGGGGGGGGGGAACT